GTTCCGCATGCTTAAAATCTAGTGTGACTGTCCCTTCAAAAAATTTTGTTAAGACATATAATATTAGATAAAGTTTAGATGGATCAGAGTATTTGGTCTGGTGTCACTGGAGAACATGGGCTTTTGGAAATGAGTCAGAATATAGTAACAAAGACCAACTGAATAATTTACTGATCTGTGTGTGATGTACGCTGTTGACTTTATGAAGTGAGAATGAAGCCAATAAGAGGAAGATAGAGTGACTGATTGAAGGATATAACTTAATAACGTGGAAGAAGTGACATCTACTAAGCTGGTGTCTTTTTAGACTATGTAGTGCAAAGTCATCTGATATGTGCTGGGGCGTTATTGCTCATGGTGTAGGTTGGGGTTTACTGGGACGTTCCGTTTATGCAGTGAGGGACGAGAGGTGAGGAATATTTGGTGGTTGAGCTGAGCCCCTCAAGAGTAGATGGTTATGACCTCACGTCCACCTCCACGCACGAGCAGGACTCTGTTGAGACCTTCGGTCAGGACCTCGAGGAACTCCATGTCTGTGTGTCTGAAGTTAAGCGGCAAACTTTGACATTTACATGAGAGTAGTCTGTCATACACAAGCAAGAAATAACTTCATAGTAAAAAAAAAATTGTTAAAGGTGCTATATGTAACTTTTCGTCTAAAATGAATGGTTTTTTTAATACCTGTGTGTGAAGGGGTTGTAATCACATTTTACAATGATCCACTCGTCGGGTTTTGCTATTACCTCTGAAGGCCAGTATTCCTATTTTTATGTGAAGTCTCCGGGTCGGATTTTCTGCGAAATCCATCGGATGTGACGTGCATGTGCGCTCCCATACGGTCTATGTGACGGTACTGCAGCTGACGCAGCCCGTTCTCATCCTTTAGCGTCATATGTGACGCTATATGACAAAACGGCGAAATACTACGCATATGGCACCCTTTATCGTTAATATAACACGTGACCCCAAGGCGTCATAAATCCTTTAGCGTAATATGAGACTACCCAAACCACACACCTAAACCTACCCATCAAAGCACGTTAATATTAACGATAATGGGTGCCATGTGCATAGTATTTGGCCGTTTTGTAAAGGATGAGAATGCGTTAGCTGACGACATGAGTCTGATAACACCAAAAAATGACCTGCCTCCAGCACAACACAGACTCCAACACAAACTCCACATAAATATAAAAAACAAAACAAAAATTTTATCTGCTGAAGCTCGTCAGGCCAAACGTGAATCGGATCGGCTCAGGACGAAAACACGGATCAACATCGGCAGAGCGTTTGAATTATGAAGAGACCTCCGCTATTTTTATTGAGATAAATTACAAGTTTTCAGATATGCTGAAATAATGGTAAACTGTAATGAAATAGCAAGGTAAACTACAACATACAATATTTGAGACATGAAATTAATACAAAAGACTGTTCCAGGATAGCAAAAAGTAGGTGCTTTAGGACGTAACTTTTATTTTATGTACTAGATCTACAGTCTAACGTCACTCATCCCACTACTAACATATTGTTTATAACACACATTTCCAGACACGTTCAGTACAGTAATGTTACTTACTACACTGTAAAAAAAAATATTGTTGGTTTAACTATAGGGGTTTTCTAACACCGACTCCCATATAATGGAAATCATTATGAACATCAGCTATGCTAATTATTTCCCATCCGCCTTTCTGCTGTTATTTCGGGACGCTTGTCCCGAGAAAAATGGCGTTCGTCAGGTCCAGTTTTGTCTCCAGCCTCTCACAGGGATTTCGGATGCCCCAAGGCCTGTGATGAGAGGACCAGCGCCTGTGAAGAGACGACTCAACGCCTGCAATATGTTATGGCGCCGTTTTATACACAAACAATATTTATATTTAATATTTATATACTAACAATATGAATGTAAGCCAGAGGAGAACTGGCCCCCGACTGAGCCTGGGTTCTCCCAAGGTTTTTTCTCCATCCAATCTGATGGAGTTTTGGTTCCTTGCCACTGTCGCCTCGCTTTTGGCTTGCTCAGTTGGGGTTATTTAATATTTAACAATATTATTGATCTGTGTTGTACTACTTTCATGTTATCACTGTGAAGCTGCTTTGATACAATGTGTATTGTGAAAAGCGCTATATAAATAAATGTGACTTGACTTGACATTAACTTAAAAAACTAAGTAACCTGATTGCCTTAAAATTTTAAGTTGATTTAACTGGAAAAAGTGAGTTAATACAATGAAGGAGATTAATTTAATCATCAGAAATTCAAAATAATAAGTTATCTCAACTAAATAAATTATTTAAGTTGATTTGACAAAAGAAAAAATGTTGTGATAACAAATCTTGAAAATATATATATTTTTTTTACTGTTTCACTGAAATTGTTCAGTCTAGTTCACTAACCTTTTTCGTTATCAAATTATACATTCGCCTGTTGACATTGCTGATTGTGAAAGATACACGAATAGTTGAAATACACGAATAGTGAAATGCCTTATGCTAGATAACACCACAAATGTAACATTATCATGGTACGAGCATGGGGCATTAGTTCAACGTCAAGCTGATAAAAGTAGCCTATCATTGTAACGGTGCAGTGGAGTTTCCAGCATGTTGTGTGACGCTTTTTCCGGTGTGTTGAAAGTCTCAGTGTGGCCGTGTACCATGAGTGCAAGCTCTTGTGTTCGAGCACACGCAAGAGCAAGAGCGCTCTTGTAAAAATTGGTTGCAATCTGAAACATCACCGATAGAGGCGGCTAAAAAATACATAGAGCACCTTTAAGTCAGATAGACAGTTGATTTTAGAGGAAAAAAGGATACAGTTCTCTTCTCCGGTGCGGTTCCTCGGTGGTCCAGGCATGTTTAGCAGGACTAGTTTAGCTTCTTGCGACTTCTTCACAATGACTCCGTTGAGCCTCTGTGCGTGGTGCATGCGCCTGACATTCGACTGATTCCTGTATAACACATCATAGGAAGAGCATTGCAAAGACTTTTTTTGTGCATGTGAGGGTGAAATGACAACATATTTGTATATATCTGCTTATTAGAGAGATATGAAGCATAGAAAAAAGGTGAAGGAATTAGCATTAGTGTTATCTTGAAAGTGTACTCACAGATTCTCCCATTCCCTGAGGCATGAGCAAAGGGAAATAACAGTAAACAACCCAGTGAACAGAGAAATACAGGAACACAGTACAAATTCAACCGCGTTGAGAACGTCATTACCCGACCTCAATGACCTTTTTTTAAACAGTGTAACACAGTCTCATCCCAAGACGTCATACTGTATATAGCTGACGCCTTGGGACGTCTTTTGACCATACGTCAACATCCGCCGTTTTAGGGTACCCTTTAACGTCGGTTACATGACGATCCTGGGGCGTTATAGAACTGACGCTTTACCTTTAACATCAGTTAGGTGACGGGGTAGGTTTAGGTCTAACCGATGTTAAAGGGTACCCTAAAACGGCGGATGTTGACGTATGGTCAAAAGACGTCCCAAGACATCATGACGTCTTGGGACGTCTTTTGACCATACGTCAACATCCGCCGTTTTAGGGTATGTATGAGACTGCGCTGGATGCACCATTAGGGCAATTATTGATCAAAAACCATTGGCATGTCGAGTGTCAACTTGAAAAAGTCAGGTGGTATGTGTTCGGAATAAACCATTGTTTTGTGTTTCACTGATTTTATTTTAATTTTTTTCATCAGGCGTCAAGAACAACAGTCTAACCATCACTGTTTTTGTAATCTGAAGTGACAAGAGCGAAACAATTAAAAAGCATGCAAGTTCTCTAATAATGATGGAAGTGTTTGTGTTTCAAAATAGAGTTTAACATATTGCTGCTGTTTATGGAAGCTTCCCAGCAAGCAATAGCTGTCATTTCACTGTCTCGATTAAATATAGACCCGATATAGACCGGCTATGATGAGTAACCTACTTTTAGCCAAAATAACCTTGAATTCGGTTACATGTTGTTGTTTTTTTTGCCAAAATAACTTGTATGTTTCATCATGTAAGCAAAGTCAACCATGATTACAAGGTGTGTGGTTTCATTTCTTTGACATGTTCTCTGCAACGTCTTTTAAATGCAAATTTGCTCACTGGGCTGTTTCCTAATAAAACATTTTAAAAGATAATTGCGACTTTTTATCTCACAATTGCGAGTTTACATCTGGCAATTCTGGCTAATTTTCTGAATTCCGAGATATGAACTGGCAATTGCGAGAAATAAAGTCAGAATTGCATAATATACAGTCAAAATTGCGTGTTATAAAGTCAGCATTAACTCGCAATTATGACCTTTTTGTCCAGAATTGTGAGATATAAAGATGTAAGTTATAAAGTCCAATTCTGAGAGGAAAAAACTTCATAACTCACAATTCTGACTTTTTATCTCGCAATTGTGACTTTATAAGATATTTCTGAGACAAAAAGTCAGAATAGCTCGATGTAAACTCGCAATTGCAAGAAAAAATTGAAAGAATCAGAATTGTGAGATTAAAAGTCACAAATACCTTATTTATTTTTTATTCTGTGGAGGAAACAAGCTTCCATAGCAGTTACTGCAAATACATACTATTACGTAATAAAACATGTTTATGTATATTTAATGTGAATATATATTTACTGTGAATATACACACGCGTTTTAATTAAAGACATTTTAATGATAAAAAATGTATTTGCTTATTTTAAATTATAAATGTAATTATTAATTAGATTATTTAAAATGATACTATTTATTATTATTAATATGTTTCTTCCATTATGTCTAGTCTTGTAGTCTTGTAGTCTAGTCCCATGTAGCATGGGTCTATAGTTTTTATTATTATTATTGTTACTAAAATCAGAGAAAACCCCAAATCCTAAATCTCTATGCAAAGGTTTGACTAACATCTCACTCTCAACTAATTGAATAATACAATGATTGTGTGAAAATTTCATTTTTTTTCCCTCAAAAACTAAGTTTTTAAAAATAATTTATTATAGCAGACACAATATATACTTAGTCGAGACCGCCATTCTCTTGACTCACGGTTTCATGTTGAACATATCCTTTACGTTGTCAGGGTTGGCCACTGCTGGTTTATTGGTCTTCTCTGTTTCGTCGGTCCAGGTCATCTGCACCTCCTCTCCGGGGCTCATGGCCACTGGTGTGGGAGCGGTAGGGGAGGTGGGGCTAGTGGGGGTGGGGGTGGCATTTTTGCCCTGAATTAGTTGAACCTGTCGAGGACGGGAGAGACGGACATACTAAGAGAAAGGTAAAAAGAGTGAGAGGGTAGAGAGGGATGAAACAAAAATCAGAAAGTGAGAATTGTCGCTTTTTCCCGGTAACCTTGTTTTCAGAGGGATAAAGAAAAGACAGAGGGCGAGATGCACTGCCAGGGTGTTAACAGAAGATAATGATTTTCTAGTAGATAATGACTGAGAGAAGAGAGAGAATTGCAAAAATAGAAAGTGATGAAGAGATGCTATCTTCATGGCTGAAAGGTCCGTGTTATCATCTAATCGGCTTGAAGGAAAGGCGTGATTAGCTCAACTGGAAAACAAGCACAAAGTCACACACTTGATGGATAAATGCACAGAGACAAAACTGAGAGACAGCAGCTACCTCCTCCTCGGGTTTCTCTTCGCCACCTCCTGTCACGGACTCCTCGGCGATGCTCCTCTGGGGGTGCAGGTTTGAAGGGTTCTTTCGCCGTATAGAGCCACGGGACACATCTGTGATGCTCTGAATCTGAAGAGACAACATCAGCGCGGTTAGACTGACTCAAAAGGCTAAACATAGATGTCTGTTAGAATAAACCTTGTGAAAATTGTGTTTACTTAACTGGATTGCCAAATTAGGCTTAACTGTAACCCTAACCCCAACTCAATTCTAGTGTATTTTTACTTGCAGATATTATATTAATGAAATAAAGGCTGTACTTAAAGAGAGTACATTTTCAGGACTATGTTTGGTAACACTTTATTTTACACTGTCCTTATTTAACGTTACATGTAGTTAGTAATAACTATAAATTCTGCATAGTTATATGCAACTAACCCTTAACCAAACCTAATCCTAATCTAACTCTACAGTAAGTACATGCAGTTAATTATTATTACTCTGTGTTACACTGTATAATTACAGTGTAACACAGACACCTTAAAATAAAGTTTAACCCTATGTTTTAAGAAAATATGATCATATAACACCAATTTTATCATCTCTACACTGGTAATTAAGTTCCGTATCAATTACAAAGTATTACTACTGACCTATAAAGCCATAAATGGTTTAGCTCCTGTGTCCTATGGAACTTCTATCGCCCTACAATCCATCACGTTCTTTAAGATCACTAAATTCAAGGCTTCTGGTCATTCCTAGGATATCTAAGTCCACTAAAGGAGGGAGGGCGTCCTCTCATTTAGCTCCTAAAAACTCTGGAATAGTCTTCCTGATATTGTTCGAGGCTCAGACTCGCTGTCCCAGTTTAAAAATAGATTAAAGACACATCTCTTTAGTCAAGCATTCACATAATGCTTACCTTTTATACTACTGTTAAATCAGAGCGAATGCATTAATATTATTAACAGCAGCTATGCTAATTATTTCCCATGTACTTTACTGCTGTTATCAGCGTAAATTGCGTTCATCATCAGCTCCAGTTTGTATCCAGCCTCTCACGGAGACTTCAGATGCCCAAACGCCTGTGAAGAGACGACTCAACGCCGGCGATATGTTATGCCCTAAATTAATACATGATTAACAAACTGTATTTTTTCAATATAAATTTCTGAAATGCACGTTCTGTAAAGCTGCTTTGAAACAATATGTATTGTGAAAAGCACTAGACAAATAAATTTGAATTGAATTGAATAGTTACACACTTTTAAAAAGTGCAATCCAGTTATGTACTATAATTAAATGTTAAATGTAATAATGGCAAATTAAACATTTTACTTTAAAGTACATTTTAAGTCATTATGTTTTAATAATGTTTTGTCATGCTTTAAAGTACACTTATTTTGATGTGTAAATAAGCAAAAAATATATAAGTGTGTACCCTAAAAAAGTGTTTAATTGTATTACAGTTTTTCTCGATTGTTTACACACATTTTCTGGTACTTGAGACACAATGGCCACAACATGTAACTCATTCACCAACTCCCTGAACCAATTCTGCTGAACTACAAGCACAATTCCTGCTTTACACTCGAATTGCAGTTCTAAAACACACGTTTTTCAAACCACTACACACAATTCTCTGCATTTGGCACAATTTTCATGCAGAAAATCTCTTGTTTTCATGAGGAACACACTGCCATTCAAATATTCACACTGACTCGTCACATGGGCAAACACATTTGACACAGTTTTACAATTAGCAATCAGAGCTTTAGCATAAAATACCAAAACCAAAGAGAGGATGCAGCATAGATATGTTTTTATTTCTTTTTTTACTGTAACAGCATAAAAAATTCTGTTGTTTTGCATGTAGACCACTGTATGTGCAACTTTGTGTTGGTTGGGGTGTACAAAATGTGGGATCTATCTCCCATTGATTTTGTGGGAAAAATAAAATATATTTGTTACCGTGTATTTGTGTGTTCTGGGTATAAAAAACAATATTCTCAAATATTTTACAACACACTTATGTATGTAAAATGTCTGTAGTAAGTGTCACACTGAACAAAAAAGGCCTAAGTCATTATGATGAATGGAGAAGAAGTGTTTTCCATTGATCATAGTGTTTTACATTGAGCACATCAGTGTTCAACTGGTTCTTATAAATGTCTATTCATATGATGTTTTGTGTGTGTCATTTGAAAACAAAATAACATTTTGAGAAGAAATAACATTGTTTTGAATGTAAAGTTTCATTTTGCAGGAGAATTGAGGGATTTAGCCAATTGTGTGAGTGTTTTTAGATTTGTGTGTAGAGTTCTGAGAATATGAGGCATTCTTTCAGAAAATGTGTGTAAACAATCGAGAAAAACTGTAAATGTGCACTACTTTACTTCAATTCTTAATTCAATTATTGAAGTATTGTACTTAAAATCTTAAAAGTATAATACGCACACAAATTTTATTTTTTATATGAATAAAAATTTGGATTTCATATATTTTCTTAATCAAACTAAATCCTATTATCTAGCAATCTCCACCTCTTCCTCATTTATTCTTATCCTTTTTACCAAAAATCTGTTTTATGTGGACAGATCAATACAGTACAAAGAACATGTAGGATGTTGGAAAATAACAATGTCTTTTTTGATTCTGTTAACCAAATGCTTTTTAATCTACTGCTATTCCTACTCTTTGCTATTCCTTCAATGCAAATGAACATGCGCGCCGTTATTTGTTGAGCAGTGACTAGTGTGTTCAAGTAAGCCAGATATGCGCAGATTTTGTGCGATATGCTGTATTTAATACATCACGATGACTCAAGAGTTGTGTATTTGCGCTAAAATCGCGCAGATTTGGCTTACACAATTTTTATATATATATATATATATATATATATATATATATATATATGCTAAAATTTTACATTTAAAAAGTATGCCAAAGTGTACTTCTTATTCACAAGGAAAAACTGTTCTTTGACTTGGATACCTCTCTCTCACGCTCGTTCTTGGTAAGATGCATCTCTTTGAGGATTTGCGATCGTTGCTCCATCACCAGGGTCTTTTCGTAAGTGTAGGCTGAAATGTCGCTGTCATGCTTGAATTAAATGAAAGAACAGGTTAGAATGATGGTTTCTATAGTATCAGCTCATGTGTGTGAAGAAAGCATTTTTGTTCCTCACCATTTCAACCACCTCAACCTCAGCATCAAAGCGCAGGTGATAGAGGAATGTCATCAGGTCTTTCTTCATCTGAATGCTGTTGTCGTCCATCTGAGCCACGGTGAAGATACGCATCTTGCACTTCCTCCACACCTGCAGTTGAACCACAGTTATTGTCCAGGGCTGGGTTTATTAAAAGCATTTTGAGCTAAGTTGATTGTAGAGACCATTGGTGCTAATGGTTTTATGATTTACTTAGGCTTACAACGCTTTTGAGAAACTCAGCCCAGTATAGCAATCGAGTCAGTATTTCTCATTCACAGACATGAACTGAATGTGTTCTCAGTTTCAATCCCTAGTGAACGGCCTCACAGGCAGCAATTGATTTAAAGTACTGAAATCAAACATTAACTGCCACACTTTACATAACTCCATTAATGCTCAGCCACTCCACATAAATATAGCACTGGATGAGAGACTTGACAATTCACACAGTGATTTCTATAGTGTTTGAAATTGACATATTAAGCTACAAATATTGGATGAAATAGTTTAAATTAAAATGGAACTGTTTTTATTAATACTTTTTCAGTATTGAATAAAATAGTGTAACATATTTAAACATTTTAAAATTTTTAAATGTAAAAATGTCAATGCCATCTCTGTTTTAAATAAAATAAATGTTGTTACTAATTTTAATAACTCTGCCCACCATCTGCAGAGCCTTTATAGCTTGTGTTTTGAATACTCTGGCAACAACAAAATTGGAGAATCTCAAACAGCCAAAATGTCAGAAACTGTCAGTAGCGGTGTTCAGCCTTACAGAATATGTTCGAACCCGAGTAAGACACAAATGGAGAGACTCAGGACTAAGTTTAGAATGATGAATTTATGTAGTTGTTGTGGAATTAACTTTATTCAACTTATCGATTAGCATGTTTCGTCATGATCAACTGTAAATTGTTGTACAGGTTCTCATGTGGGAACTTTAGTATGATGTTGGTATTGGCCCATCTTTCAGAATCAACTTTTGTGCAAATCCAAAAAACAAAATTAAATTAGTTATTAACTTAAATTAAATTAAAATAATTAAAAAACTAAGATGGTGCCGCTTTGAATAAGTCTATAGGGCAGATCATCACCAGGTCATGGGCTGTGCTTGTATCTATTTATGAGGATTATGTGGGTGGATTTTTACCATTACAGGCTGATTGTGGACACACACTGTGGACACTTATCAGTTTTCAAACACCATGTAAAAGTGAATTTTGCATAACTAGTGCAGAGTCGGTGCAAAATCTGTTTTTGTGTTTGTTTTTAGTAATTGATGGTTTGGTGTGTTTGAGGGCTCATTGTTACAATTACACAGCAAAAGTTCAGTGACATTTTTATTTGTAGCTGACTTAATGTTTAGCTCAATGTCAGCATGTTTATTTTTAAACCACAACCTTCTAAACATCATCTAAACATCTTCAATGTGTGTTTTTTTTTAACCTGTATATTTCACGATATCTTTTGCATTTCAAATCCAAACAACGTCAATCTTGGCACTGCACTTACTAATGCTCGTAGCAAGACACCTGTCAAGTTTGAAATCCATCGGACTAACGGTTTGAAAGATATGCGAATAACAGACACACAGACAGACTTTCCTGTAATTTATAGATAGATAAGTCTCCTTTAAATGCAGCATACAGTTCAATTTTGAAAAGCCTTGGAGTTGGTTGCACGCCTCTGATGCCTAAAATGCTGTTTAGGTAAGAAGAGTTTAGACCAGAGCTGTACATTTCTTGTCCATGATCAAGCTACTATTATCTACAAACAATAACAAAACTTTTCTTCCATCGTTGTTCTGAACACTGTGCCGTGATACCCGTATGCATGTTTGTATACCTTGTGCTGGCGCAGAAGAAAGGGAAGGAGCATGAGCATGCCTCCATCATGGACAATCCACCACACATCAATGTAGCCCTCGGTGAAACGTTCTCCATTTGATGGATATGCAGAGATGTTCTTCGGAACCAGCAAGGCCAACTGAGCTGCGGTGGTCTCTCGAACAATCTCTGTGGGGACAGAGCATTATAGTCAAACACACTTTTTTGTGTGATCATACATATAGCTGAACGAAAAATATTTTGATTTGATTTTTCTGATAAAATTTGCAATTGCGATGAAAATGCAACACTGGCAGTTAACAGGCTATGGTAACAATGGTGAATTACCACTTTTTACATTGTAACACGCTTCAATCTGAAACATGCAGTGGATTTATTTATTTCATTAAATCACAGACTTTGTGATTTATAAAACACACAGAGCCATATCGCAAATTCAATTTTATTTTAGTTAATCATGCAGCTTTAGTGCATGCAGTTAATATTCATCTATGAAGATATCCACCATAAAACTTCAAATAACAGCCGAGTCCCAAATAGACGCCTGTCTCTTTTACACTCCTGGTGTGGCTGCAAGCTTGGGTAAATAAAAGCCGGTCTCAAATAGGTAACTGCTGGATCTTGGTGTGGCGAAGTCTTCTGTTATGAACTGCTCTGAGGCATGGAGATGAAGATCCAAATGCAGCTTTATTTAAGATTAGTCGTACAGGCAGGGTCAAGAATTAGGAGACAGGACAATGGAGAATACACAGTGGGAATCTGGGAAACAGGCAGAGGTCAGGGCAGGCAGCAATAATCAGAATCCAAGAACAATAGAGGCCAGGTCTGTTTTTTAGTTTCGGGTTGTATTTAATCTTCTAAAACCCGTCAGATCGTCCACTTTTTGGTCTTTTTTGATTGGTGAGTGATGTAGAATAGAATGACTGTTGTGCTTTGACAGGGCGCTTAACAAGCAGAAAGAGAGAGAGCCCCCCTGCTGCACACACGCACTTCAAACAACACGAGCACTGTCTTGCTCTCTCTCCCTTGCACATATTAATCAATACCAATTGACACGATAGTAAAAGGTCGGAAGATCGCAGGTTCACGTGGAGCATTTGTAGATTTTTAGAGATTTGAGACTCTAGGCCTACACTCAATGGACAACATCTCAACAATAAAATTATAAAGGCCTGCCTCATATAGACGCCTGTCTCAAATACAAGCTGGTGCAGTTCGACGAATTGGGAAAAGAAAACGTATGTATCCTTTATCATTCTTCATCATTGCTGATAATAGGCACAATCATCTCGTGTTAACACAAAAGTCATAAAAAACATGGGTAAAAAGGTCATCAACCAGATATGAGAAATCTTTTCCAAAAGAAAGACTGATTTATGACTGAAAGGAATGTAAAGCCTCAATCTAAATTCAGTCTAAAACAGACAAATATACCGTTTTCCTATACAATGCATCCTAATCCTGCACACTCTATATAGTATATAACCAAAAGGGATTTTGACAAATGGGGATCTCGCTCGAGAGCCGAAAAGAGCCAATGCACATTGGCATGTGATAACTGCACCAGCTGCTATGCATCGCAGATTGTGTGTTTCCAGATGTGGCCAATGTCTGATTCCGGCTGGATGACTCATATTCCCATTGTGTGAACATGACCATCGCGGTGTTCTGGTGGAGACTCTGATACCATGAAAGAGGTGGAGCCCCTTCGCTTATTCCCCGAGGATCACAGTGAGAGGTAACCCACACAGTCTTCGGGCCCCTCACTCCTCTGTAGCGCAGTAAACTGAGGAGACTCCAAGAGAGCAAAGCCTCCGTCCTTGGTGGTCCCAGTCGTTTCTTTTGGAGCTCCACCGGATGATCAGATGCCGCTGCATCAGAGGGTGAGTTAATTTTCTCTGGGGATGACGATTCGGCTGCACTGCCACCCTCGGGTGTGCCAGCGTTGTCTGAGTCAAACCCAGAGCTCACAGCTATGCTTTCCCAGGACGCCGAAAGTGTCAAACTCAAGTGGAACCCTCCACCGTGTCCCGAACCTTTGTGGCTGGAAAATTGGTATCTCGGGGCGGCCCGTGCTGGTTCTTAGTGCCCCGCCCCAGTGCCTTTCTTTCCAAAAGTGCACAAAGAGGTTACCAGAACATGGACGGCACCTTTTTCTGCCCGAAACCATTCTGATGTCTTTTCCTCCCTCACTACCCTTGACGGCGGAGCGGCTAAGGGTTACGTGGGGATCCCCCCGTTGGAGCGGTCTGTGGCGATGCAACTCTGTCCCAAGACCGCTACCAGGAAAATCCGCCATCAGGGCTTCCCACATACCCTCTGCCCCACCCTCAAACCAGGTAAGTGTGGCACAAGACACACACTCAGACTCTGCATCGGGCCGCTTCAGTGCATCCTGAGCCGAGTCCCTGTTTCCACCACGCTCCTCCATCCCGGGTACGTCTGTGGTCCCATTGGTCCCGCTTGCACGGTGTCTGGGAGCCTGGCTAGTGCTTCCCAGCCCGCCTTGCTGTCTCATCCGTACCATCAGACTCGGCTATGCGATTCAGTTCGCTTGGCGCTTACCCAAGTTCAAGGGCATCCTCTTCACCTCCATGCGGAGTTGCGATGCCTGTCTTGCGGGCAGAAATCAATGTCCTACTGGCGAAGGACAGCCCCTACTTCATTGTACCCAAGAAAGGCATGGGATATGGCCAATCTTGGACCTGCGAATCTTGAATCGGGCCCTGCACAAGCTCACATTCAGGATGTTAACGCAGAAACGCATTTTCGAATGCATCCGTCCCTAAGATTGGTTTGCAGCGATTGACCTGAAGAACGCGTACATCCATGTCTCGATTCTTCCTTGCGTTCGAGGGATGGGTATATCAGTACAAAGACATACCCTTCGGGCTGGGCCTGTCACCCCGCATCTTCACGAAAGTCACAGAGGCAGCCAATGTTCCACTCCGAGAACACGTTTGTATTGTCAACTATCTCAATGACTGGCTGATTCTGGCTCAGTCTCGAAATCAGTGCGAATACAGAAACATGCTGCTCCATCACCTCAACCTGTTGAGGCTTCAGGTCAACTGGGACAACATCAGATGAGAACTTTCCCTTGTGCTAAGGATTTCTTATCTTGTTGGACTGGGGCAACCAGACAGCTCGACTCACAGAGGACGTACAATGGACATGCAATGTCAGGTCAGTGGACGGGGCCTCAACTGCATTGCCATATCAATTGCCTCGAAACTGTAAACTCCACGTCTGGTCCCTGGATGTGACACGGAGTATCTAGGTGACCTACCCCAGGCGGTGGTACACATCATCACTTCTGCTAGAGCCCCCTCAACGAGGTGCCTCTATGCACTGAAGTGGAACCTGTTCTTGAATGGTGTTCTCCCCACCGGGAAGACCCCAGAGGATGTCTGATAAGAGTTGCACTTTCTTTCCTTCGGTTGGAGCGAAGGCTGTCTCCCTCCACCAACAAAGTGTATGTTTCTGTTATCGCCACACATCACGATGCAGTTGAAGGTTAGTCATTGGGAAAGCATGACCTGATTGTCAGGTTCCTGAGACTGAATTTGCCTCGCCCCCAGTGCTCCTGACTGCTCTGGCTTCCTTCAAGAGGGTAGGGGACCTGCAAGCATTTTCGGTCGAGAATTGCCTAGAATTCGGGTCGGACAACTCTCACGTTGTCCTAAGACCCCGGCTTGAATACGTGCCCAAGGTTCCTACCACTCCCTTCAGGGACCAGTTAGTGAACCTGCAAGCGCTACTTTCGCAGGAGGCAGACCAAGCCCTTGCTTTTCTCTGTCCCGTCTGCTCCTACCAAGAGGGTAGGGGACCTGCAAGCATTTTCGGTCGAGAATTTCCTAGAATTCAGGTCGGACGACTCTCACGTTGTCCTAAGACCCCGGCTTGAATACGTGCCCAAGGTTCCTACCACTCCCTTCAGGGACCAGTTAGTGAACCTGCAAGCGCTACTTTCGCAGGAGGCAGACCAAGCCCTTGCTTTTCTCTGTCCCGTCTGCTCCTTCCCGTCATTTGTGGTCAGAATGCAAAGCTTTAGGAGCGCAGATTAGCATTTCGTCTGTTACGGAGGCCAGTGGAAGGAAAAGGCACACCATGTCCGTTCGGGTTGAACACTCAACTAGAAATGTAGCTTCCTCCTGGGCACTGCCTCAAGGCAGCTCTCGACAGATATTTGTAGAGCTGCGGGCTGGGCAACACCTAACACCTTTGCTAGATTCTAGAGCTGGTATCTTCCATTATACTCGCCCACAATGGCCAGTAGCGCAAAGGACCCGTTCTTAATGTCGGCTTACAACGCCTGCCCCGCTGGGCTGGATATGTGAGTCTATTTGCTCCAGTAGTGTTCCCCAGAAATAGAAAACCCTGTTAAGTTTCTCCATCATCCCTGCAGCAGTCAGACATTACGGAGCATCTGACGCCAGGCCTATATTCGTATGCATTGTGGAAACTGTACAAGGCTGGGTGTCCGGCTCAAGCCAGGCTCCACAACGAAAAACAAGGATGTGATGCACCTCCCGCTCATTATATGCTCTCGCCACAATGCACAGCAGCTGGTGCAATTGTCGCTGTTTCATTGTCCTGTTCGTACAGCTCACTGCAGTTGACATTTGCGGTTTCGATTTATTGGGTTTATTGGCGGTTTATTGGCCGAGCTCTTTAATGACTTAATCGGTCTGTATGAAAGGTGATGAAGTATTAGACATGCGTGTTTTATGGGCTGTTAAATTAAACTAACACACTGGTAGTTTGGACCATCAAAGCAGTCTGAACGATCTTAAATATTATTAGTTAAATTATAAAATATTAAATATAAAATATTAAATATTGTGATATTTTGATTGTTTACGTATAATCTTTTCCCTTTTTTGTTTCCCTTTCTTTGGAATTTAATGTGTTTGCCAGTGTATATCCAAATGTGATTTATTTGAACGGAGATACAGAGGCTTAGCAAAAGAGGAGAGTGTATTTGTTTTCTTTCTGTATTGTTTCTTCATTTTGTTTATCACTTGCTTTAAAATAACCTTTATTCACTAATTTGCTGTGTGGTTTGTCCCTTCTGTTTAAGTTGGTTAATTCGGTCTCTTATCAACTGTGGTATTTAATTGGTAAACTGTGTACAAGATCTATTTTTAGGATGTTTTAAAATGGTTTCCTGTGTAAAATAAACTTTGTAAACTTTTGGAAGACTTTTCCGAACCAGCAGGGTCCTTCATATTGTTGTAATCCTTTTGGGTTTAATTATTTTTGTGGTATTTTGTTTATTTTTATACATTCCTGGGTGGAGAAGTAACCTAGGTGGCATGGTCTGTTTTTTTTATATTTAGCCAAAGGTTACATATGCCTGTTTTGTGTGTATGTGTTTGTTTAGATCAGTCATGTGTTTGTGATTTAGTTCAATAAACAAATGTGTACACATTCATGTAAGTTTGATTCTGGTCCCTGCTTGTAATTCAATGCCACTTTAACAATGCGATCACAGCATGCTAAGAAAAATAAATGTTTCTGTGGTCACGAAAAATCTCCTTTCTGAGAGTTGATAGACGATCAATACTAAATGTTCGCTGGACGATTATATGAATTGATTGTGATAATTTAGCTATATTAAGTTAATTCTATTAACTGAGAAATTGTAACAAATTATTCATATTTCCCTTTTGAGGTACTTTGCAACACCACACAGTCCAAACTAACCCACCATATAAGAAAATCCATGTCTAGACTTTTGTCTTACCAATGAAGTTTCTGCAACGGTGGTGCTCCTCAACTTGTTTCCAGTTCTTGGGGAAGCTGACCAGAACCGCATTGTGGCGGAGGCCACCAAGACCTCCAGCTTGTATCAGATGTGAGGTGGCGTCTCGCAGGTTAGAGGATATCACTACCTGACTGAATCCCTTCACCTTTTCAATCTCCATCAACTTCCTTAGGGACTGAGACAGATAGAGATTATTATATTAGTACCATGTACAAATGGCTCATTACCTGGTGTGTGGCTTTAGGAGTTGTGTGTGTGTGTGTGTGTGTGTGTGTGTGATTGCATACTTCGTCTGCTTTCTGTGCCTGTGGTTGGTTGTTTAAGTAGGTTCCCTCCACACACGCTCCTACAATGGTCAAGCCTTTGCCTGCTTTCAACTGATTGGTCAGCGACAACAGTCGAGGTTGCTCCACATTCTGCTCTCCATCCAAACCCACAAGAACAAGAATCTGGGGCCTGGAATATTGATAACATTTAGAATTTTTATGAACATTTGAATTAATGTTGGAAGAATGCAGTTTGACGTGATATACTGCATGCCAACATTTGTTGTGTTCACAGGCATATTACTGATCTGCCACTAACCTCCAGTTTTTAGTGTGAGGAGGACCTTGCTCCAGCCTCATCAGAGCATAGCGGGCAGCACTCAGAGATATGCCACGTATCCCATCGCCCCACTCTTTCTCTGCCCTACAAAGATAGAACACACAGTCAATTTAGTGCTTTAAATCCCACCTAGTTTTTGTCTAAATTTGGTTAAATTGTAGTGTTGGAACTTAAACATTTAATTGTGTTCTATTGATCATTCCAAATATTTAAATTTAAATACAATCACGCCATTTGATTAAAAAAGGTTATTACATACAGTATGTTTAACACAACAATTTAAAAATAAATAAATTAAGGTGGATACATTTAATATTATTAATAAATATTGCTGTCAACCTAATCAAATTACAGTATTGTTAGTTTAGGGTCAAAATGATTTTTTAATTTTGTTTTTTAAAGAAATCAATTTTATTCAGCAAGGACACATTCAATTTGTCTAAAGTGACAGTAAAGCCATTTCACACAAAAAAATATTAAGCTGCTTTCAACATTGATAATACTTTGTAATAAGAGATGTTTCTTGAGCATCAAATCAGCATATTATAATCATTTCTGAAGGATCATGTGACACTGAAGACTGGAGTAATGAAAAAATTTCTTCGCAATCATAGGATTAAGTTGCATTTTTAAATATATTAAAACAGAAAACAGTAATAACCCCACACTCTTAAAGATTAGTTAGTACATTATAACAGACAATATAAAATCAAATAACGGAATTCTGGAAACATGTTATCCTTATAATACCATGCTTAATATTATCTCAAACTGTACTAAAGGGTCTTTATACAGTACATCTTATTTGGAAGGCCAAAGGTTAAAAACACCTGGATTAGGTAAAAATCATTAATCCGTGTCTTCCACTAATAATCATCTAAAACTATAGTATATGCACTTATTGTAAATAATTACTCAGCCACATTCGACAGACCTTTAAATAAATCTTCTAGCAAAAGAAAAAAAAAATGTACAGACAATAATGCATTTTCTGCCAAGAGAGATTGATTTAGGTTGTGTGAAAAACATTAATTTTTTTTTCTCTCTTTTTTGTCAAGTCGCTTCCCCCTGAGGCTCATTTAGGTTCGCTTACCCGCAGAATTCGATGTACTTATAGATGCAGCCGGCGATCACCATAGCAACGATGGCGTAGTACCAGGAGCAGAGGAACATCAGGGTAAGACACAAGCTCATGCCCAAGAGTGACAAAGCCCTGGAGAAAGATCATAGTCTCATCTCATGCTTATTTGTCCAGTTTGCAATTGCTCAAAACATACATTTTGGTGTCAGCTGTTTACACTAATTACGATAACTGCCACATGTGACTATATTCTTAGAGGTGGAAGGACTTAATTTTGTGGTTTGATGTCTGTTGGCTTCACTTCGACATTCAACCTTAAAGATTACAAAAGACTGGACTTTTAACATTCATCCTCTCAAAGCAATCATTTCATGTCACTGACACAAACCTAAGGGAGCAGGAGTTTGTGTGTGTGTTTGTACATGTGTAATTATGTACCAGTGATAGAATTTAAAGCGTGGCCTCCAGTTCGGGGTCCTGAGGAGAGTCTGCAGTGCACAGGCCAGGTTTACAAACATGTAGCACATGAGAAAGAACCTGTGGGGGGAAACAGAGCAAAACTCGGTAACACTTTATAATAATACACACTAATAATCATTAGTTAAGCATGAGTAAACAATTAATTCATCATTCATAAAGCATTAATAGACATTAATAAGCAGTTTATAAATACATATATAAATGTTTTCTTCTTGATTTAAAAGCATATCTTTAATTTGTTTAATAATTGTATTTTCATCTTTTATTAATGATCAATTTATAATTTCTTAATGAAGAATTGCATTTTTTATAAACCAGTTATTTAAGAGTTTTCAGTGGTTCATAAGATTCCTTAGAGTGTGTAAGTAAATGATTAATAAACTATTTAAATGTACATTCATACACCTTATTTTTCAGACATATAGTGATGGTTAATAAATGCTTTATTAACATGTATTTATGCTGTAATGTAGGGTTAATACGGGTAGTTATAAAGCATTCAGTAGTGGTCAGTTAATTATGTTTGTGAGCTCATCTAAAGTGAGGAATATTTATGCCTTGTAAAGCATTCATAAAGGAGATTTAAAGGCTGTTAAATATGTCTTATGTTCTGTATCACTGTGTTGTGTTTACATTTATATTTACATTTGACTGTTTAGAAGATTGATGCCTTTGACGCCTTTAAATGATAAATTGATTAACTGCTTATTAATGTTTATTAATGCTTTATGAATGATGTTTACTCATGCTTAACAAATGAGCATGCCGTTATTATAAAGTGTTACCCAAAACTCTATAATGAAATATTGAGAAAATACTTCCCCTTAGAAGTTTTTATGCGTTGTTTTTATTTTAGCAATGAATCACTATTTATTTATTTACTTGCGTACTTAAAATATATTTCTGTTTATCAATGGCATATAAATTTTGTCAAACTGAACACGAGTATAAGTTGTGTTGTTTCTGTACCATGCCCATCATTGGTTTGGCTTCACAGAACAAATATATGTTGTTGTCATGTTAGCTATAGTAACAGGACAGTTTTGAGTGTCATTACTTGTCTGGAGCTGGTGTGCTCTGGCGACTAACAATCAACTCTTGCTTGTATATATTGCGTGTGTTCCTTGTTGTTTATTTATAATCGTTGCTTTATTTTTTGCGAAACATAATGATTTCAAATATCAAAAAGTGTTTCTCAGAATTTGCGTACTGCACCTTTAACTGTTAGTTGTGACTTAGTGAGAGCTCACAGTACTCATTATAAGAGAGCCCAGTCATTCAATGCATATAATTTTAACAATTTCTTTGTGCCAGTGTCTCACAGTATGAGGCTCGATCTTGATCCACTGGAGTAAAACATCTTCTTGCAACTAAACAAAGATTATGTAATAGTTTTTGGCATGTGTTTGTTACTGGCATTCTATCTGAGATATTCAATAATTTTTATCTCCTCAAAAAAATAATTATTAAGAAACAAGAGACATATTTAAAATAATAATCAATTGTTCTCCAATTAAAAATTATATTTTGAAATATATTTAAAAATAACATTTTAAAATACAATATAAATAATAATGTATTATGTTAAATTAAAATATATATTACAATAATTATATAAAATAATATAATTAAAAGAAACTAATATAGTTAAATAATATATAATAAAATAAGTAGAATAAGGTCTGTGGTAAAAAAAAAAAAAAAAAAAGAAGATATGCCATAAGAGTTTCCGCTTTAAAAAAAAAATGATGCCGGTCAAAATGATGCCGGCAGAGGTTTCGTTTTACGGACATTTTGATGATATGCATGAGTAGCCAAGCCGATGAGCTGGCTGCCCCGGCGAGCCGCAGCAGATGTGGCGTCTCTGTTCCCTTCTTCGAGGGTTACCACTGAAGCCAGTGCTGAAGCGGTCTCATATGGAGCAAGCACGAGTGGAGTTACCGCTGCTGCCGCTGTCACATGCCCCAGGAGCCTCTGCCAAAATTTCAGTGGGACCAGTTCAGCACTGACTGAGTGTGTTTCTCTGTGAGGTGCGCTTGTCTGTGCTTGTCTCCAACTTCATACAGAGAAAAGACGTCTTCTACAAGGGGGAGAGCTTTCTCTTTAACCAGTTGACCTGAAGACCCAACTGGCTGAGGTGCCTGAGCACAGGGCCCTGTGTTCGCATAACTGATCTCGAGAGTGTGCTAATATGAGCCAGACGTCGAGATAGTTAAGGAGGCAAACGCCCTGTTCTCTGAGAACTTGGGGATCATGACCACCCTCATGCAGGTCCTTCAGTGCCTTGGCCTGATGAACCTGCAACAACGCCATGTCATGTATGGCAGAAGCAGCTTCCCTACAGTCCTTGTAAGCCTTGCCGGTTAAGTCTGACGAGTGCTTACAGGCCCAGGAAGGGATACAAGGGAACCAGCAAGGGCCACCCCAAGAAACGAATCATCCGGCCTCGAGGACTCGGGACATGGTGGAGGGTTCCACAAGTGCCTGATCCTTTTGGCAGCCTGGGAAAGCATGGACATTCTCTTCGGGTCTAACTCAGTGCATCCCTGGAGAAGTGTGAACCACCCTCCGATGCATGGATCGCCATCTGATCATCTTGGGAAGCGCCGAAACATACAGCTGGTACACACCTCATGGATGGTCCAGCACGTTTTCTTGGCGGCTCTAATGGCTGTGGAAGCATGGGAGGGAGAGGGTTCCTAGGGGGTTGGTTCCCCAAAGGAAGCACTCTTACAGTGATCCTCAGCTCACCCTCAGGAACAAGAGTCTCGACCATAGCTCTGAGATGGTCACCTTCCCACAATGGGTAGATGACTCATCCACGAATGCTGCCACAGCATGTTCAATGCAACGTTCGTGACCATCCCCTGATCCCAGGTAACGACCGCATCCAAAAACACACGCAAAAAAGACGCGCTCCACCTGTGTAAGCTCTTTCAGGGGACTGCTCTCCTTGGTGCTGTTGAACATGCAGGGGAACGGTTGTAGCGAACACAGACAGGGAAGTGTGCAGCCTGCCGTGCACTGTCTCTCTCTCACACCGATCTTACCAGCCGTAAGAATGGCTTTTCAGAGCTCTTGTACCAGCTGCCTTTTTGTTTTGCTCAGTGACAAACAACACAAACACAAAAAGAAAGAGAGAGAGAGAAGGAGAGATAAAGAAATTGACCCCGCTGCCGCGCTGTATCGCCTGCACCAGACAAGAGAGATCCTCCTGGAGAGCTCACTCGTTTAATATAAACACTCACTGAAGAGAACAGCATCAAAACTCCGTTTTGTAGGCTCCGAAGCAAAAAGCTGAAGTGCAATCACATTTGCTGCTCGTTATATACCCACATTGCGTTGTAGAGCAGCTGTTGAAAATGATTGCACACCAATGTGCATTGTCTTGTTTAGTTTCACCTAAAGTATATTAGCCTTTCTAGTGAGATTCCTATTCGTTGGTCTCCACGTGGCGTTGACTGACCGACTGAAGAGAAACTTGACGATACTTGAACGTTTTGTTCAACAATGTAAACTGTACACAGTGCCGTCGCTAGTGGGGTGAAAGGTGGTGACAATTATAGGTGCCCCCGCTGACCAGGGGGCCCCACAAAATTTAACAGTTATACTATTTGTTGTATAAATATTAATCATATTAGTTGTATGCCTGAGATTTAAATGAAAACCACAAAAACATTCAATTTGGTTAAATATTTTTCCAAATATCTGCTTCTCTTACCTCCATAAAAATGGTTTAGTCCGATCTAAAGTATTTATTAATTATTCAATCAGAGTCAGTGACAAACATCAGTTGGACCCAATAAAATTGTAAGTCCCACCCCAGCTCGTGAACAGAACCAATCCGAGTTGAGGTGGCAGCTTGAAGTTAACGATGAACTTGGTGGAAAAGCAGGAGACTGACTGACTGAAAATGTCGGGGAAAAGAAAACATAAATCAAGTACCAGAAAAGACGAGGCCAGGAGAGTGGTTGTATCCCAGTCGATCAAGACGTACTTAAAGGCCGGATGTGTATTGTTATTTCGCTGGGAATTTGAAAACTTCGGTCTACAGTCTGCCATGTACAGTCATTTTTTATTATCGGTGGGCGCGACAATCGACCAAATGATTACGTGGTCTAAATTCCTGGGGGTTTTTTTTCACTAATGTAAATAGAGTTTTAAAAAATTACAAAAGTCAAAACGCATTGCATTATGCATCTGACCTGCCGGCTGATTATATTTAAAGGGTCACTTCACCCATTTGCATTAAGCTTTGTATCTTTAGAAACCCAGTCATATTTTTGAATGGTCATGGTTTATTCCCTTATTTTCCCCTGAGATGGGAGAAATAAGGATTTAAGTGTTTTAGAAGTGTAGAGACTACAAACAATAGCCCACAGGCCTATTACAGATCAGTGGGTGGGACTTCACTTGCAGATACTGAATCAATATCCGCCATCTTGTTTGGAAGCTAAGCTAACAAGCGCTGTGGAGATAGTAAGTTATGTTAATGACGGAAGAAACTAAACATGATATGGAAGAAGAGGATTTTGAAGTTCAGCTGCTCGAATCCGATGTTTGTGGCTATCTTTACGAATCGAAGTATAGTTTAGAGCAGCTGAGGCTGTTGGAGGAACATGAGGCGGCTGCCTGTCGGTCAAGAAGCCCGGACTGGGTCGAGCTCGGCGGATTGCTGTTTCCTGTGCTCTCGCTGCGTGCTATGGCCAACGGACACAGAGTCCGTCTGCTGCAGAGAATGTCAACGATGGCAATTTCTCCTGGAGGAAATCTCTGAATCAGGCGAGCACACAGACGTTTGTTTTTGATGACTGACAGAACATCCAGGTATCATGCAGAACATTCAACTCTCCACACCAGAGACCCAAGTTCGAGCCCACCACCTTGTGACAAAAATCAGGCCTGTTTCTCTCTCGATCTGCCGTTGTCGCTCCCCATTTTATGCTTGTGAGAGACGCGAGACTGGCGCACTCATCACAGTCTTACATTATCACTCACGCCACCGGCCTCACACGACATGCTGTCCTTTTACATCCCTTGCCCCCGATCGTCCTGCTCGCCACAGCCAACTAGACATTTTGTGTGAAATGAATTTCAAACTCTGGTGACAGCTAACGTTAGCCTTTTAGATGGAAGAGTGAATTCTCTGTTTGCGCTGTTCCGTATTAGTGGGTGTGGCTTGCGGAGCTGTGCAATGCGATGCATTGTGGGACCTGTAGTCTTTCAGACAAATGCACCCCTTGGTTAAATTTTCTGTCTTTTCTCGGTCAAAAAGGGCACCAAATTAAAAAAATATTTTACATTTCGACTACATATATGATCCACTTTCAATAAAGATTAATTTTGCAATGGGTTAAATGCTCCTTTAATACATCGAGAAAACACGAATACAACACACTGCACTTGGATGAATAAATGTATTCGCTTTATTTAATAATATTACCAGTTCCATATTATCTTTATTAAAAAAAAAGACACTAAATGTTTTTTTTATTTTTTTTAATTAGACTGCATTCTTGTCAATTTCTAAATGTTTACTTTTTAATTTATGAATTATAACAGACTAATGGGGGAAATAATTATTACTTTTTAAAAATTGGTTTTATTATTATTATTTTATATAAACAGTTAACTTATAAAATAAAGGTTTTACAACAACATCACCACCATCTTCTATATGATATATGATATTGGTGGAGGGGGCCGGGGCCCACATCAATATTTTTTCAGGAGGCCCCGAATCCTCTAGCTACGGCTCTGACTGTACACAACGTCACGTCATATTCACCACAGACCGTACTTAAAAACTCTATTATAAAAAACTAAAGGAAAACCTCAAGGGAACCACTTCCGGGTTTTGATGTCATCCCTGCGGCACTTAATTGAACAACCGGCTTTTGGAAAATAGGCTATTCAGCATAGTGTACTTCTTTATTACAGCAATAAGAGAGTGGAAACTTGTTGTTTCTCTGGGAATCATAAAGAATGAGGAGCGTTGTGTGCGTTTTGGTAGTTGCTTGCTTACATTGACAGAATGGGTGCAACCGAATCCAAGGAGGCGATGATAATGCCAATCTCACAGATGCAGCCTGTCAGGAGGAGAGCCCATGTAGGTTCACCATTAGCTTTGCCATGGCCAAACACCTGTAAAATTAAGAAATACCACTTAGTATGATCAAGTGTGGAAGCATCAACAGAGAGATAATCAGAAGGCAAACATATACATATACCCTGAGGAAAGGAATGATGCCATCGCGGGAGATAGCTTGAAGGAGGCGGGGTGCTCCTGTCAAACTCTGAAGCCCTGCCCCACAGGTGGAGAAGAAGGAGCCAAAGACAATGACCCAGGGCGAAGGCCATGCCAGGGTGCCAATAACCAAGTTACCATTCACGCCTTCCCCAAATCTGCATTTAGAACAGAGTTGATATTGTTAACTAATAGCATTCAATAAATTCTTGTTAATTGAAATAAGGCTGAAATAATATACAAAGATTCGATTAAAAACTTAAAAAGCCTAAAATATTTAATTAGAAATACCACCTTGGCAATTAATTGAGTAAGTTGAAATACTCAAATTTCTAAAACTAAAAATGAAATTAAATAAATTAAAGCTAAAAACAGAAATATTTAAACAAAGGACTAATAAACATGGCAAAGGCACATAACAAAATTCAAAACTGAAAATATGAAAATCATTTTTATGTGGAAAACATTTTAATTAAATTGAACTGCACTGACTGAAATCAAAGTTTTAATTAAATTGATCTGAACTGCACTGACTGAAATCAACATTTTACTGTAATTAAATTGGAGGCTATACTGATTAAAGTAAATCAAAAGTAGAACCAGGGTTATTATAACTAAAACTAAACTTAAAAAACAACACGTAAAATAAAATATAAAACCTTATAAAAGTAAAATTTTATTTTACTTCAGATAGTTTGTCAGCATGGACCATTTTCACAGACTGATGTGTTTTAACAGCTATCAACATCGCAAATCCTACAAAGTGTTTTATAATTAAACATAGTGGGTCCACTATATATAGGTAAAAATCAAATGTAAAATTTAACAAAACTATAATAGAATGTGTCCGTGATATTAAAATAACACTGACTAGAAGTACAGACTCACTTGTCCCTCAAAACGACTCCGTCAACACAGGCTCCGAACAGAATCACACTAGACATGTCTGCGAGAGCAAAAATTGAGGAGAATGACAAAAAAAAAAAAAACAGCAAAAAGGCATTCATACTATTTCAGCCACAGATTTGACCACAGATGAAAAATATCAAGTCTTTTAATTTTAACATTATCGTTTCCAAATTACACTGTATACAAATTTATGTATATTTATTTCAAGATGTGCAGTTCTGCACTGTGTCATTTATGTGTCAGAGCTGGAGCGGTTTTGAATTTGGAGTAAAGGATACAGATGATTGAGGTAGTTGTGATAGCCATGATGGTCCCAACAGGGATGGACTTCTGAGCATCCTGCAGGTCACCAGAACGGTTGGAACCAGCCATGATACCTGTGACATACACACAAACATTATTTCAGAAAACACTGGGTCTGTTTGTGGATCAGTTTTTTTTTTTTTTAACTTTACACACAAATCCAAGAATTGCACACACACATTGCAAATGCCTCACATCTATTGCAAACATACACACAATTATTCAAAACCTAAAGCTCTTCTTTCTTTCATGAGCTCCTATGTACATTTCCGTACAAGATTGAAAGTAATTGGCAGAGTGATGTAGAGAAATTCACGGCAAACACGAAAGCAAGATTGCAACCTAACATTTTTTTTTTTTTTTTTTTTTCGGGCATTTGTGGTTGTGAATAGTTTTACACAGTCCAAAAAACCTATAACTTGTCCTTTGTCCAATTTATATGCCTATTCTGAGGTTGGTGTTAAACAAAGCAATGTGAGGATTTAGTGTGAGGCACTGAGGAATTAAAATCAAGATACTTCCTGTTAGATGTTTGTGTGGTACATATAGAATTCTGTGTTGTGGTTTGCAAAAAGTGTTTTATGATATTGAAAACTGAGTCGAAGGCCAAGAATTAGTGTTTGGTTCTGGTGTTTGAGTTCGAGTTTCCGAAACTGTTTGACAAGTAAGGATTTTGTGTGTAAGCAGTTGAAAAAAACTGTAATAATAATTCCCCTAATAGTCATGGAACGGTTGTACTGACCTGTGACAGAGGGGAAGTAGATGCCAACCAGCAGGGTGAAGAAGCTGGTGATGTCAGCGAGGACATATCGGTTCGTGTTGGTTAGTGGTGCCTCAGGGTCGAGTGCTGCAGCTATACCTCGTTTCTCAATAAATGTATTTTTCTCAGCAAACATGCTGAAAAGGTTTTCTGTGAAGAAGAAAAAAGATTCACAATTTTTTAAAAACAAAATGACATCAAATACAGAATCGGTACATTTTTTGAACATTAAAGCTAATCAATAACATTACTGGTATACTTAAGCATTTCAAATATTCAAATGGGGTTCGAAATTTGTAAAATAATTGTATGGACTATAAATAATATTATAATAGTATTATTATAATATACTATTATAATTAATAATAATAGTATTTTAAGTTTATTTTATATAATTGCAAATATTTAAGAGTCTATGATTGGATCATTAGTGCAGTGATTACTATGTTTCTAGCATGTTATATGTTTGGCAACAGTTCTTCTAATCCTAATTGATGGAGTGTGTAGCTTTTCATTTCTTAAACAATCATGTAGAAAGACAAGATCTTGACCAAAAATTGATCTTGGTGGAAATAAATGTTCTGATGTTATTTCCATTAAGAGGTGCATCAAGTTTTGTTCAAGAATACAAGAGTCAAGCACTCTGTAAAGTCTCCTCCAGAACATCCCAAAGATTTTCAAGGAATTTCAGGTCTGGACTCAGAAGTGCCAATTCATGTGTGAAAATGATTCTTGATGCTCCCTCCCTACCATTGTTTCACAGTTTGAGCCTGATGAATCTTGACATTGTCAAAATGGAATATGGTCATGATGTGTTTTTCACATGGTTGTTTAAGAAATAAAAAGCTACACACACCATCAATTACATTTAAGAAGAACTATTGCCAAACACATCACATGCTAAAAACATAATAATTACTGCAATAATGATCCAATCATAGACTCTTAAGCATTTGCCTATTTAAATATTTTGGACGGGCAGTGTGTGTTTATTTAATTAGCTTTTATGTTGAAATAATTTTGATAAAACATTTAAAGTATGCGGAAAATATTTTATTTTTTCTAATATTTTAAATATGAGGGAAGAACAAAACACTATACATAGTTAAGGTATTTATCTGACAAAATGATTTGCCAAAAAATCGCCAACAACAGCTATATGGTTTATTTTACTATGCAAAAAAGTAAACTGCATAGAAAAACAAAAAGCTCACAGGAAAATTGGCTCCAAGCTTACACAATCTTTTTTAATCTTTTGTCAAAATGCTTACAAAGACAATAATTATACACTGTTGTCTCTACACCACTCAAAAGTTTGTCTCGTATGCTAAACAAGGCTGCATTTATTCAATCAAAAAACTATAAATAGAGTTTAGTAAATGATACATTAAGATTATGAAAATATTACAATTTAAAATTATTGACATGCTTAATATATTTTTGTGGAAACCTTTAAAGAAAAGAAAGTTTAAAAAAAACATAATTTAATTGAAAAAGTATTAAAAGTATTATTTATTTGAAAAAGTAAAAGTATTGTGATGTATAAGTATCAATGTCTGTAAGTCTTCTAACCTGCCAGGATGCCACTGGTCACTCCAGGGATTCCCTGGATCTGGCTAACGTTGTTGTTTGTGAAGTAATCATCGCAGGTGGCGTTCAGGAACTCGGAGTCACAGAAGCTTCTCCAAAGCTTGGTGGTGACCGTGCCATTTCCCCTCTCTATGGTCTTGGCACAAATGTCAAAGCTCTTCGACACAAGAGTCCGGTTCCCGAGCACACACACCCTATACAGGATATGGTCTGTATGATTATAAATGCTCTGTGCCCTAAAGGAACATTCTGAATCCCAAAAAGTTCTACTTACGGAAAGTCAGGTGGATCAAAAGATGTCTTGATGACCCCGGCGTAGACAGCGAGAATGGAGAGAATGACGCAGGCGAGGAACACAAGGGCCAACTTGTTGACGTACTTCACACCAACAAAGACAACTAAAGACATCAAGGAGAGCACGATGGTACCGTACACACGCATGTTATTCAATAATGCTGCCTCAGCCTCTGCTCCCTCCAGACCCTCCATCTTGAATACGGCAGCTGCTGGCACAATGTAGATCTACAAAAAAAAAAAAAAATCAATAATAATTTTAAGATTTTGTAATAGTAATTGTAAGATATTTTTATTATTATTAGTACTGCCCTTCAGTAGCCAAATATGAATTTACATGTTTCACAGAAGATAAAAGTTTAAATTTACCCCAATCATCAACACCCCCCAGCTGTTAATGCATTGTGTCCAGGGCCTGAAATTAACTTTTTCGGCCACCGGCCACTGTGGCGGGTGGATTTAAAAATTCACCTGCCACAGAGACTTTTTACCAGCCACTTTTTTTTTTTTTTGCCTCATATTTTGCCTCAGCCAAAAAATGGCTGGTAAAAAGAACAATATTGTGAAATTCCTGTTTTTTTTTTTTCACCTTTATATAGACTAAAGGTGAAAAAAAAAAAAACGGGAATTTCACAATATTGTTCTTTCACTTGTAAGAATACACATTTAAGTGCTGTCAAGTAATAATAATAACTCTAAGAACATACATTTTTTAAAATCTTTTTATTCATTGATTTTGACACTCACACAATATATAGGCTAGTATAGGCTATACTCAACAGATAAACCTACCGCAGCTCGTATGTAAACAAATCACACGCGGCTGTGTTGATGGCTGATTTAGTCACGTAGACAGATCCTGCGAGCTTTTAGTTACAGCGTTCAGGAACCGTTAACTATGAACTAAATTAATAATGTTATTACTGGTAAAGTTACCGGGTACCGAATATTTTCTCACTGGTTCCCAACTCCCAACATGCACAGTTGCACACGCACACACACATCTGTGCAACTGTCATTGTACTGAAGGCTACGTCAGCGTTACATTATCTCATCCCATCTCACCAACAGTTTAATACTCGCACATCCAAACGTAGTCAGAAATAGGGCCTCGTCTTCTTCTGATCGCATGAACGTTCCGAAACAACAGTCGCTGTCATAAATCAGCGGCTCACGAACCTTGCCATTGCCGCCAATTGTCCACTTTGTATTAAAATATCTTCTTTTACTTTTCTTTTTCTCATCCTCATCTTTTTGTTGGTTGTTTGTTTCAGATGGCCTCTTTACCCCAGTAATGTGCCGCCACATTTTAGCTAAAGTCAAACGCAATGGCGGACTTAGTTGAAATGTAAAAATCCTAATGAATCACTCAATTCTCATTGGCTACCGGCCAATGTGGCAGGTAGATTGACAGTGTTACCCGCCAATAGAAAAATTCACCCGCATTTGGCAGGTGGTCGGGTGTTAATTTCAGGCCCTGATTGTGTCCCTAAAAATGTTAGTTCACCCAAAAATGAAAATTATCCCATATCCCCTCAAGATATCCTACTGTATGTTTATATGACTTTCTTCTTTCAGCCAAACACAATCAGAGTTATGTTAAAAAATATCCAAGCTTTACAATGAGAGTGAATAGTAACTGAGATTTTGAAGCTCCAAAAAGCACATCCATCCACCATAAAAGTAATCCATACGGCTTCATGGGGTTAAGAAAGACCTCCTGAAGCGAAGTGATCCGTTTTTTGTAAGAAAAATGTCTTAACTACAGAACTATAATCACTGATTTACGGTAATGGCCGTACGCAAGTCTAGTTCCTGCAGAAGAGTTAACTCTGACCTAACGTATGACGTAGGAGTTGTGTAAGCTTAGGTGAGAGTAGATGCCTCTCGCGGTTCAAACAAATATGGCTGGGCAACAAACTCAAGTTCCTCCGACATTTCTCTTTAAAAATTCTTGTTTTAGACCTTTTATTCATGACCGGTGTTTTGTTATTCTCTGCGCTTCCGAGTTCGTAAATACACAACCCGATCTCACGACCAAATCGTACGATTTCGACGAATGATTAAAAAGTGGCTAATTCGTAACAATT